ACGAGATGTTGAAGATGTAGAAGGCATGGTAAATGCATCACTTTTTAGATCAGATTGTCCCGACTGGAAAAAAACGAATTATGGTTATTTTGTCTCAACCCTGCCATTAGGGAATTAAGATATTTCGAGACCATTTTTTCATGACATATTACATTAAGTAAAATAAAAATATTGTATTCCTTCCAAACGTGAACTTGTGGCTCGACGACCTTTTCCGCTTGTGTGTCATCATACGCGTACTTAAAAAGGACGTCGAGCCACAAGTTCGCGTTCTCACTCGCAAGTTTGTATTCTATTTTTGCAACCTAAGAATTAGTACCTAATTAGTAGAATATAGACTTTTACTTACCACATCAGAATAAAAAGGAATTGTTGTATGCTTTAACCGATTCTCTATTATATAATCAGTAGCCACAAAATGATAACTGCATATATTTGCAGTTTTATAAAACTTATTTTTTATTTGACACTCGATAGCCATTGACTTCTCCTTATTCTCCTTGGGAAAACTAAAAGTGTAATAAAAAATATTAAGTTCAGTTTTATTGTTTATCCTTTATCTTCTTTTCATGGTCACCATATTAGTGTTTGTTTATTTTTATTTTACAATGTGAACTGTGCTTTTATTAGAAAATTTCTGAAATATGCTACTGTAAACAATTAAATCATATATTACTTTAGATACCATACTATTGTAAATTATCAAAAATTGAATGATTCTACGTTAAAAACATTATTTTTATAAAATGCAAGCAGTCATCAATTATAGTAACTTACGACTCACCTGTGAAATATCAAAGAACATCCAGGATGCCATTTGCTTCCGCAACCTAGGACTACACATTTCTGAACCATTTTTCACGATTTGATAAGGAGAAACGTTTATATATGAATCACAATTTTCGAGTCGACGAAATTAGTAATTGTCATTCGCCATATTGTAGTGATGAGTCCCTCACTCGCGAGGTGCCTCGTTTGAGTTCCTCATTTCGACAAAATGAGGGAGTACTCGTTTTTCAATTTTGAAACACCTCATTAAGTTCCTCACTTTTGGAGTGAGGAGCTAAATGAGGTTGTGGACTTTTTGAGTGAGTAGCTAAATAGCGAGTTGTTTCGAATGAAAAGGCGACTCGATATTTACTCAATATATTCAAGATTGAGGGAATGGGTTAAGTTTTATGAGTTTTTTGGAACGATTCAGGTTTGTTTATGTGTTTCTTCGTAAATACGTATTCAATATTTTATAGATAATTGATATAAATTAGACTAAGTAAATATCAAAGTTAATAAAAATGTATCTGTTTTATTTAGAAATGTATTTATATGATTTGAAATATAAATGATTGATCGATTTTAAAAATGGAACATTTGACACTATTAAAAATAAGTTGCATGTAGTGGTCATTCTGATAAATTATAATCTAGTAAAGTTTATTTCTTAGAATCTAAAGATAAAATATGTTTTGTTTAGCATTACCGACTCCCTCCCTCATTTTGTACCAAACGGCAACGTTGCGCGCGCCTCGCTACGTACTCATTCGCTGCTACTGTAACATTACCTATCCTCACCTCAAATGAGTGGTGACTCGCGAGCCCCTCACGAGGGAAAATGATGTCCTCACTCATCCTCATTAAAAAAGAGTGAGTAACACAACGCTACCATATTGACTGAAAACACACACGAGGTTGCCATTTTTTGAGGATGCCATTTACCACTACAATGGGGAAATTTAGAAAAAAAATTAGGGTGTCTTATTCACATAGCATGGGTACGGTGATGTTTGGGGTTTGAAGTTTTTAGATACAAAAACTCGATGTTATTGAGTTTATTTCTAATAGAGATAAACGGTTTTGAGATCAACATATAAAACAGGATTTGAGAATAATATTTATTCATCAACTGTTAACAAATGTCATCGTATCCACTCTATGTGAAACGGTCTATAGTGGAATATAAACGGTAATAATATGTTATCTAAAGTAATATATGATTTAGTGGAACATAGTGGAATATAATTTTACAATTTATAGGTTTTAATAATAATTCAACAAATTAAATTGCAAGTCTGGATTATTGATTAAAGAGATTGACATGACGACGGTAAAAAGTTAATAATTTTTATTAATTTGTAGCTATGTATCTGCCTTCTGATTATAATATTTGCGTACCATTTTTTATTATAGAATTTATTTAATTGTAGTTATTGCTTAATAACCCTTTTGCTTAAGTTTTTTGTTACATTGGATTGGATTTCAGAGTATATTTAATGTACAATCTTATTTCTGATATATAAATAAAGTTTCAAGTCCTATGCAATTAGTGACGTGTAAAAGTATACTATTAGTACCAATTGTCAAAAAGTTTATGAAACATAAAATTAGCGAATAACATCAATGATCGGTACAGGTTCCGGGAAAATTTAGATTTATGACATCGCCACCCAGGAGTCCAACGAAAGGTCAACAGAGGTCAAATAACTTTGCTTCAACCAATAGTTCCGGGTTTGGCCTCCAGTTCTTTTACTTTATCTTCATAGTCCCTAACAACTGTTGCCTCTGTTAATTCAATTACTGTTCCTTCAATTAGAAGTTTATCAGCCAGTTGCACAAATGATTATTAAATGTCTTCATCAACTTAAAGAACCTTTAAATTCTAATAAGTCGATAAATTAGTGACGTCGCTCAAAGCATCTTTTGCGATCCATTAATTAATGGCGACTTCATACAATATTGCCAGAAAAAGGTCAAATATTTAATAAAATAAATGAATCTTGACGTAGTCCATTGTTTTATAAACATCTTTGGTGTCAAATGACGTTTATTTGAAATGTCAACGTCAAATCTGAAATTTTCGGTTCGCGGTATTCGTGCTAATCATCGTCATCTTTCATTCATTTCATTTTACATGTAAAAATTAATTTATTTACTTGACATTGGCAGAATTGTGCGAAATGCGCAGATAAGCCATTAATTAAAAAAGAAGAAGAAGAAAGTATTCGTGCTAAGTTTTCGTGTTTTAGTTTGGAATAAATTGAGCCTGAATTGAGCCTGGCCAGCGACCAATGATATCTCTTATTTTTAATGCATCACATACTACCTAAACATTTAACGAGAAATATCCTTTTCTGCAGCGATAAAGTTCAGACTATGACACCCCTCTACTTATTATTTTGACATGTGTGCAATCCGAAGCTCCTACTACACGTGAAAACCCATCGATTGCATAAAACCCTTCAGCAACTTCACGTAATTCTTGTTCCCTGAACATATTTATACAAGTCGAGTGCAATTTTGCTAACTCTCTGGGTACTCTTTGTACGATCCGGCATATGTCGATTTATGTAAATTCAAAATATCACCTAGCACTTGTTGGAAAGTCCCGGTCGCAAAAAGACCTTAAACAGATAACAGTTGCGTCAACCCATCAATAGACTTATTTCTTTCTTATGGGTTCCAGGTTAAGGATATTGCTAATTTGAACAGCTGTTTCTTTGGAAACTATACCTTACACAAATTACCATTAATTATTTCGAACATATGCCGACGTTGTATATCTTCGGGATCTGATTGCGATGATAAACTCGTTACAGACGTGTCGATTATAATCTAAAAATTTCTAAAATGCACTAAAATTTGGTTAAAATATAAACTTAGGAATTATAATGAACAGATAAATGGATGCTTAAGGGCCTATTAAAAATATAAACTCAAAACTAAGGCTAACATTAGGGCCTAATGTAGTTGTCATTTCATTAAATTTAAAGAAGCTTTAAAATATGATTTAAATGTTACACATTAGTAATAATAATTACACATTAGTATATAATGGCGTCATTAATATTTAATGATCGTTTCTGCAACTGGCTGCATGTTACTTATATTATGTATCTACGACATTGTTACTTTGCAACCTACTAGTTATAATATTTGTATATATATAGTAAGAATTAGAAATTTATCATATTTTTTGAATTTATAATTAGAAAGAGTATATTTTTATCTAATAATACATTATGGCTGCATATTCAGATGTGAGAAGGAATGAAATTATTCATTTCCAAAAGTCAAAATGTTCAAACTTTGTTGACTACATGGATAATGCTGCCATCTATATCAAGCTTTACGTAACTAACATTTACTATTTCTTATAATTCATGACATTATACATGTTACTCACATATTTATCAAAGCTGAAAGTGGGGGATAAAAGTAATTTTCTTTACATCTTGTAAATAGAAGACAGGTAAGATTAGAACTCATACAATTCAGCATCCGCATATGTGCGATTATTCATGTTCGATGTTTTCCATTTTCAATAAAATACACATTAACCAAAGATTTGATTGAATATGCAATATCAGTATTTACATTTAATAGTTTTTTAATATCTTTATGGACTTAACAGTGAACCAATGTGGATATAAACTGTTAAAGTGAAGTACACTGTTTATTGCAATGATTCAAATTTTCAAGTTCCTCACACTAGAGATCCTCTTCTGATCTGAAGACATTAAATAAAAAAAAATTAAGTTCATCATTTTCTGCTAAGGCCAAATTATAGTAGTAGTAAAATGAATTCAGAAAACTGTAAGCTCACTTATTCCAAGAATTATATTTTTCTTTAAAAAATATGATTAACTACTATCTAATAATAAATAACTATGCAACTTTTATTACAGATTTTAGAAGTTTATCATACTATAAAGAATTACAATCATCCACATAGAAAAGGAATAAATCAGATAAAAAATAGATATAAACAAATACAAATGGAGTAAGCTCTTGCTGGTAACATCCGAAACTGATTGAACAGACATATTTTAAAGAATTAAAGGAATTATTTTTACCAAATTCATACAACCTTAAACTAAGTTGTACAGTATAGCACCAAACATTCCTCCGTGTAGTAGTACACAAATATTAACAATATTTTGTTGTATCTTAATCATAACTCCAACCAATGTGGATATAAACGTGTAGACTTATAATATAAATCACTATCAACTTGTTTTTGAATCCTTTTGATGTTGTATTTCCCCAATGTGAAAGAGCATTAGTTTAATGTGTGCTTTTGTCTCTGCTGCTTTCTGTTGTATTTCTCGAGCCTTTTCTTCAAATGCCTTTATTCTTACATCTAAATATCTATTAGCTTCATCTATGCTGAACTCCACATAGTGGTTTAAGCCTATATTCATGAGTAACACTGACGTGTCTGGGACAGATGCTTCCATAAAAAAATTACAGCCTATGTTTACTTGTGTTTTAAACCCTGAAGGATGCATTTTCTTATCCGTTACCAGTTTCAATGTGTGCTTTTGCTGAATAAGATCTGCCAATTCGCCATTCACTAGTTGCAAACGTAGCTCTAATTTCTTTAAGTCTTCCTTTAGAACATTATTTATAAAATGTTCATATTTGAGTACATTCTCATCAATATCCATATTAGCCATAGTTGTTTTTTCTGAAATTTAACGATATAAATATAATATTTCATAAAAATTATCAATTATCGATTCTTCTTTATCATAAAAACACTTACCTACTGATAATAAATTATATATTTAATTTCTAAGTGAAACTCGCACATTTAATTTAGGTTTGTTAAAAATATAAAAGAAATCGTAACCTCATTAATAACATCATTCATTAACTTTGCCAGGGGGGGGCACTCTTCACAGTATGCCAATTTTCGTAGCCGACAGCGACATCTACAGATTGGTTAGTGAAGCTTTGGTTGTCAAATTTATTTGACAGACAATATGGCCGGTCTATTTTGTCATTGTCAACTCTGTCTGGCTTTCTTCTATTATAGATGTTGATGCGCTTGTTGAATTTCACGGTGTTTTTGATCTTATATTGTTAGTGTTTATGTTAAGTTTCTTTTTATTTTCTTTGTTAAAACTGTGTTTTCTTGTTTGTTATTTGATAAACTTTGTTTTGGTTACTTTCGTAATCATGAGTGGAGTTCAGAGGAAATATTGCATATTTGGCTGTGATAGCTTAGGTAAGTGAGTCTAAATGATTTATGATTTCACTCAAGCAATAAAAAACTATATTTAAGCTGCATTTCATGTCGCTTTACATCGAGATGCCTTAAACAGGATTTAAATGATGTGAATAATGTTTACATTAAGTTTTCGTCATTAACATAACTATCATTACTATTTCAGCTATCCAAAATGTACCTCTCCATCGATTTCCAAATCCCGATAAGCGCCCCGTATTATTTACTGCTTGGGTGTCTGCAGTTAGTGAGAATATGAAAAAAATTTATAAGAACAAGAGAATATGTGATCATCATTTTGAGACGAAGGTTAAAACTACTGGAGGACGTCTCATTTGGTCAGCTGTACCGACAATTTTCAATCGTATTTTTATATATCTATTTCATCATCATAATCATCAGCCCTTTTACGTCCCCACTGCAGGGGGGCCTTCCTTATTGATTGTTAAGGAGGCCATGACCCTCCACGCTGGCCCAATGCGGATTGGAGGGTATTAACAATTGCAAATGCAGCCGGGACCAATAGCCTAATGGCACTGAGTAGCTGGAGATAATAATTTTTTTGTCACCCATCCCGTGACTGACCCTTGCGAAAGTTGCATAACGACTACGATCGCGGGACGCAGCGCTTATCCACTATGCCACCGAGCTATATCTATTTACTATCAATGAATTCCTTTCAAGCTATCAAATTTGTCAATGTATTTTTTGAATGTGTAATGAAGAAAGATGAACTTTTTTAATGTTATGAATGTTGTTTTAGGTGTGAAACAATCTATAAATATTTTAGTGGATATTGAACATAACTACTGTCATTCTAGAAGGGAATCTTCACATTTTACACTTTTGTCCGATGTAACTAACATACAAAATGAGGTCAATAAGCCTGTTCCATCTAGACTCTATCAGCTTGGTTCATCTACATCAAGTGAAATATGTCATCCTCAAGTTTCACAATCCAAATTTGATTCAAGTAACATATTTTTTCTATTTATTTACAACAAACCTATTCTATATTTATTGAAACTCCATAAATATATAGGTATTTTCAGTTAACATCAATTTTGTTTATTAATGAAACAATGTAAGGATAAAATTATATGTTAAATTCAAAGCCGTCTATGTATATTATTAGCCAAGCTGTTCAGAATTAAAATTGTGACACCATAATTGTTTAGGTTTTGTAAAGGGTAAGGGATAACTAAATGATATGTTATGAAGGTACAACATATATAGAAGTCTTGAGTTATATTAAACTGTATTGAATCAGCTCATAGACATCTGTATACTATCTAGTTGTTGAAATCATAAAATGACCAAAAATCTTATGATTTTTTTATTAACAAAATCAAATATTTCTCTCATTTATCTACTCTAAATTTGTAGTGTTATATAATATTACTAGCTTGCTATAAGATGTGACTGATAATTATAAAGCCTTTTCTGTAACTGTGTTTTCATAAATATAAATGTTTTGCAAAAATTAAAAGAAAACTAAATAGAACTATGCTTTTCAGGTAAAACACTTGAATTTTTAGAAAAGGAAAAGGAGAAAAAGTGTGTGAAGAAACAAAGGCAGATGAAAAATGAAATCTATAGATTACGGCGAAAAATTAGGAAAATAAGAATGTCTTTGATGGTACATGAAAAAAACAGTGTCAAGAAGGATTTCAAAAAACTAACAAAGAACATGTCAGAATCTGCAAAGATGTTTACCAGGATGCAATTTGAAGAAGGACAAAAGAAAAAGGAAGGTCATAGATTTATGTTGGAAGAAAAATATTATCCCTTTCATTGTATAAAAAAAGTCCTAAGGGTTATAAACTGATGTGTAAGCATTTCACTTTTCCATCTCAAAAAGTTTTAAAATCTTTACTTGCTCAAATTAAATTTTCACCAGGTATAAATTAACAAGTTTTTAAAGAACTAAAAATAAATGTTGAGAAAATGTTATATCAAGATCGTCTGTGTACATTAGGATTTGATGAAATGTCGATATCTCCACACATTCACTATAATCTTTACACGGATGATCTTGTTGGCTTTGAACATTTTGGTAATAAAAAAACTAATAAATTTGCTAGTCATGTAGTATGATTTGAGGGAGCATTTAAGACACTATTACTCAACAATTATAGCAGTGACCATGCTATTAATTCTAATTGCGAAGAAGATACAAATAAATGTCTCAAATCTCTGAAATTCTTCCTAAAGAAAAAGAATAATTGCCATGAAAGATTTTTAAAACATTGAATCAAATCATTTTTAGAAATGTTTTCTGTTTTGCTTTTTTAAATTGAGATAAACATAAAGATAGCATCACCAAATATTTCACTGATTTATCTATAAACATGATTATAAATAAATAAGTGCAGAGCAATAAATAGAATATTAGATCGAAAAATGTCCTACCAAGGAGACGATAAAATAAAAAAAGCGGTAACAGAGTATTATAATAAACATAAAAGTTATACCACTAAGAAATAATATAATATTTAATAAAGGTATAATTATACAAATTATTTTTTTTTACTTATTTCCAATTACCTGTAAATAAAGACATCTTAAACACTCTTATCTATAGTCGAGAGAAGTAATTAGTTCAGAAAATGTCTTAACAAGCAAATGTCTTTTGCCAATAGACATATTCTCAAATAATTACTTCCAGACTATAAATACGAAGTTAAGAATAGCTATAGATAATACCTATATATATGCAAGCATACAAAAATATATCTATACGTAAAAGCTATGTATAGTATAGTTGGCAAAAATAGTTCACTGACCAAACTCCAGCTGGCAGCACTTTCCATACATGCAAAATTTTCCGTAGAGTTGCTACTCTTTACCTTTTTATATTACATTACTCTTTGAACTTTGCGTTGCGTCCTCATATCATATCAATGTCAAATAGGGATGTTTAAAAGAATTGATTTCAGAAATAATCGATTAATAATCAATTTATAAATAGTGTAATCGATTTTAATACTTGATTTTATTTTTATAAATAATCAATTAGCAATTGCTTTTTTAAATACAATTCAATAAATTATTACCGATTTTTCATCAGCAACCCCCCGACATTAAGTTTGGTTTTCTGGCCCGAAGTCCGTCATAGAATATTATCTCCATAATATTACATTAACGCCATCTGTGCATCTATAATGGCATTCCTTTTCTGTTTATGAAACAGTTTAGTTGATTCATTTAATCAAACATTTATTTAATTCAATAGATCGAATCAACGAACTATACTGTTATACCGACATTTGTTTGATATTTATGTATGTCATTATTTGTTGGTGAAATTTCATTTTTCAAACAACAGTACGGGTGTCAAAGTCGGGAGACAATAAATGTAGAAAATAAAAACACTTTTTTCTACTACTTTTTTAATGCTTATTATATTTATAGCAATACCTTATTAATGAGTAAGTATTAAAAAAAAGAAAGCACTAAAGAGGTACCTCACTAGATAGCGACTTTAGCAAAAGTTGATTTTCACAGGAAACAGATGGACCAAAAATAGTCATCTCCGTTCCTTTTAACTAACATATAAAAAAACTGAAATTTGCAAAGTTCGAAACTTAGATATCAATACAAATACGAAGAAATACACATAGAATATGAGTTTTTTATAAAGTTTTTAAAATCAATTTACTTTTATACATGAAAGAAAACCTCATTGTAGAGAGTGAAATTGTACATAAAAATGATTTTTCATTAATCGGTTTTTATTATAGCATGTAACATCGAGTAATGAAAATTCGTTTTTTCTTCAGAAAATAATCAATGTTGTTATATTAATCGTTTTTCCTTTTAACCATAGATATTGTTAAATATGACACTTTTAATAAGACTAAACACTTTCTGACAAAACTTTCGAAATAGAGGTGGAGCCAACTTTTTTTTATTAAATTATTTTAAGTATCATAATAACTTTTAAATCTAAAACTAAATGTAGCTTTCAAAATTTCCCGTGATAAAGCCAACTTTTGTCATGGCGTCGCTATGACGTTCTATTAAGCATAAGGTTCAATTCTCAAGGTTCTGATATAGGTAAGAGGGGCCTTACGTTTCGCGCTGTTATATACAATGTCCCATTTCTAATGTCAAACAAACCAGTGTTTCTATTTTTAGGTTTTTTCCCACTCTAGAGTTTGAGACAACGAGGAAGTATTTTTAAAAAACATTAGTTCCCGAAGTCAAACTAGATGTCGCTACGGTATTTTCTTGAATTCTATATTCCATTAATTATAGCATTAGACAGAAGTTAAATTAGGTTCTTTTTATGGTATACTTTGTGACAAAATATCAATAACCATGTTACTTTTAAGACTGACGGCTAATTTGCTACATAAATATCATACTTAAATATCAACTGCTATACTGCTATACTTAACTGTTCCCATTTAAGCTATCTATTAAACAAAGAACAATGGCCAT